CAGAAAGTCCGATGGATCGACAAATCCACTTTCGCCAGTCGTCTCGGAGCGCATGCGTTGATAAGGGACTCGTTGCGAACGTGGGATAGCCATGGTGGCGCCGAATTGAGATGACTGGATATGCAGTAGACAAGGGAAAGGAGGAGAAGCAGAGAGGCGTAAGACATTCAAAACGGTTTGTATCATGAATAACAAGCACTGATGTCCCGTCCCATAAATATACGTGACCCCAGTCAATCCATTCCTGTTGAATTATATGTGAAATATCCTTTTCCATTCGTTATCCATCTCATAAACACAACTCCGCGTACCTCTGACGGAAAGTGCACATGCGCCGAACCTTGAAGTGATATAACATGAGACGGCAGTTAGTTGGTGGTGGAGATGCCACTCAGAAAGAATACTGATACGTTGCGTTTAGAAGACACAATGATGCACGAGGGGTTTGATCCGCTGTTCTCGGCATGCTTTGAACCCCGTCATTGCCATCGCACAATGGGATTGGGCAGGTTCATTATTGTTCGACCCGATATAATATACGACCCAGTGGGGCTAGCAATTCTTAATCGTACGGGTTGTGCGCTGGATGTTAAATCAGTACAGGGTCCCTGTGAATTTGCTGTTCATCGCATGATTAGTACATAGTAAAAAACACATAAGGTAGATATGCATTATCTGAAGTGAACACTTTTGTCGTAGACAAAATACTGGAGAACGCACAAAGTGGACACCACAACGTAGGTATCGAATGGACAGCTGGAGAAAAACTGTACGATTTGGAGTACGCCGATGATATCGTCCGTTTGCTCGAGTGTGTGCACAAAGCGCACTTAATAGAGTAACAAGTGCAGTTGCCATATTCGGTATGTGCTTCGCACCCTCAAAGTGCAAAATTATGGTGCAGGGCTGGGTTTCGTCTACTCCATCTCTGAAACAAAATGGCTAGGAATTAGTTAGTTAGTGCCGTTCGTTCAGTTCTGCTTTATGTTTGTGAGACCATGAATTTGCGAGTAGACGATATCCGTAGACTAGAAGTTTTTACTTAGTATAGCCATGTGGGATGGAGCGGACGGGTTAGTAATGTGGAGGTAAGTCAGCATGTGCTTGGGAGTCTGTCAGGGATAAACCTGCTAGCATTCCGATTAGTAGTATTAGATTACTAGACTTCGCTGGCTAGGGCACGTATTGCGTACGCCCAGCCATCGTCTGCCGCACTGCGGTTTACTCACGGTAGCTAGTTCGGGCTGGAGGAAACCGCGTGGAGATGACGTGGAGACAAGGCATGAAGAAATGCACAGAGCCATTAGGTAGAGTAGGTGTCTCGCGCCGGTATGTTGGAGACATTGCAGGATATGGCAGCGAACCGACAGTAGTGACGTTCTTGTTGTAGTTTCATCTCGGGTCAGAATGTTTAAAACAGTTTGTATGCATAATTCAATTGTGTACTCTGTGTGTTGATCACAGAGGTTTACATTTTTCTCCCTCCCTCGAAATAGGTCCAGTTCCTGTCCACCTTAAAATTTAGCATTAACCTTGCATACCGCAGCGATCAGTGAAGTTCGCCTCACTGTATTTCGTTGTATGACGATGATGATGGAGGGAGAGAATCCGATCTGATGGCAGTTGATTAAAGATGCACCCGATTTACAAATAAGGAATAGAAAAAAAAACATTGATGGATTGAAAGAGTTCGAATGAAAGAAAATGACAGAAACGTTCACCATGGACAACAGCGCGGTCATGAAAGACGATTGAACATTGAATTGTACAAGGTCGTGATCAAAAGATACAGGAAACCAATCGTGACTTACATCGATTGATCCCATTGAGCCATCAGTACTCCCTCCGTTCGTTAAAATCCGACACCGAGAGGATTCAATATCCTCCGATTTCAAATTCTTTTCCACTTCATTCACCGGAGCCGGGGAAATGTGATGAACCAGAGCGGAAGCTTGTTGTTCACCCGGACACAAATCGAACGGGTCCAAGTCCAACGCCTGACACAACGGATTGCAACGATGCGTGTGAAAGAACAAAGCCATCCCGCGAATACCCAAATTCCCATCCCCGTACATTTTCCCATCGTACGTGTGAATTTGCGGATCGGTCCACAGATCGCCCACACCCTGAATGTCCACAACAATGAGACGATGTCCACTCTGTTCGAAAGTGAAATGACTGAAAGCCTGAAGGGGGGGGGGGAGAGAGAGAGAAAATATTGTGTTTTTGTTGAAGATAAATGACGAGATTAAGGAGATAAGTGTACATCACAAATCACCTTCCATACTGATTGGAATGCGACACGCCATTAATGAAATCCCGGTTCCCGTTCCTGTCAGGTCCTATTCCCTATCATGATATTTAAGTCTCGGAAATGAATTAAATCATGAGCAGAGACAATGGAGACAAAGCAAAAGCGTAAGGTGGCGATGTTGGCGCAGTGGTTTAGTCACTGCCATCGGTGTGTTTTTCACCCTACGATTCAAGGTTTGAATCCCACCACTGCCACGTAACAACTTCGGTGGTAGACAGTTTTGCTGTTGTCCGGTTCAGTAACACGTCTAACCTAGTAGGACCTTATGCGGTTTACCACCCCAAGTCTTGTGGAGCTTAGGTTATCGGTTTGCATCACCGAACAACAGGTCCTCCTGACTATGCGGGTTTACCCCAAAGCTGAGATAGCTAATCTCAACACTGAAAACTTGCTTCGCGCACATGACTGCAGGCAAATTTAGAATGCACTGGAATCAAAGGCACATTGGACGTCAAATGACAGAGATATCGAACCAAATCGCGCTACGTTTTTCAGCTGACATAAAGAACTGTAATTTCCCGTCAGACAAACTTCCGGCCCGATTTTTTGCGCGCCCGGGCACCGAGAGAGAGAGAGAGAAAGTGCGTTAATCACGTGTGGTAGAGTTGCTTTCTTTAGGGTCGGAAAAGCTGATAGTAGTTGTTTGAGGCCTGACTGCATCACACCCAATCCGAGAAGCAAAGTTGGCGCGTCCAAACCCCACTGCATGCATTTCAATCTGGATGCATTGTTGGAAAGCCCCGGGGTTGTTTGTGTTATTCGTAAAATCAGACACTTGACTTATCTGGATAGACGGATAAAATCTGCTTCACAGTATCTGGACGCATTTGGTTAGTGGAGTGGAACAAATTTTTGTAATTCAGATAACACTAATAGGTTTATTTGTATTTTAAAGCATACAATTTCGTTCTATCCTCATTACGTATTCCTGACNACTGGGGCACTGTGATAACGTTCTCCTTAAGCACACCTGCACGGTGGTTCCATATCCCGAGGTGGCATTGTTTCTCAGCCTGAGAGATAAGCTCAGTCTGTCACTCTGTGTGGTCCGGCATATCAATTAATTATCATTATTATTCCCTCCAAGTATAATTTTTTTTTAAAAAAAACCGTTCTCAATTAGTTTCACTTGAATGCAACTGCACTGCACTTGATATTTTGATGACCAGAATGTCTCAACTGTTAAAAATGAATTGCATGCCAAGATTGTCATGTGGATAGTGGTGATATCACCACAGGGGATCAGTCAACAGAAGCTCTGACATCACAATCCCTAACGTGCCAAGATTTCATAAATGAGTTATAAACACACACACACACACACAATGCACCGGTAAATTTCAATCAACGGACATGTGCAGATAGAAAAACAAAGACTATGTAAAATAATAGTAACACTACAGTAATCGGATTGATTGCGTCACCAATTTTTGGGCACCTAAAACTGCATCATGCAATCAAACTGACGAACGCTTCTTGGACCGCACTGTGGTTACGTATTAGGTGCATTGAAAGATGGAACAGAATCGGGGGTGCGTCACGAGCAAGGTATCCCAAAGCAGACAATACCCGGATTTTTTTATTACACACCCAGGTGTGATGAACAGCAGACGGGGTAAACCCCATGGTCGCGAGGACCTGCTGTTCAGTGGTTGAAATCGGCAACCTAAGCCCCGGAACTTAGAGTGGCGAACCACAAAGGCCCCCATAGGCTAGGCCTTAGGTGGTTAGCCACTCTAAGTTCCGGATAGCCTAATCGTCCTCAGGATGGGGATGTGGTTCTATAGTAGCTTTGGCAAACACTCCGGTATTGGTTTGATTATTCGTTCTGGTTGTGAACTGACTATTTTGCTTGTGCTGGTGTTACCGCAACTGAAGACGGAACGATAATCAGTTTCTATGCAACTGACAAATGGGAAATATTATTTTAACCAAATACAGATATTGAACAGCTGTTTTGACCTGGTTAGGTCTCATCAACACAGTGTTGGGGATCGCGAAACGGGGACTTCACAGGTAGGACGCAAACATACTACCCATCCGGCCACTGGGAAACTGATCAGACTGTTTCTCATTTTGATTAAACACGATATAGCTTGCTTGCGTTCTACCTGTGGGGTCCCGGGTTCTATCCCCACTGGAATCGATAGATTTGCACAATGCTGATGAGACCCAACTAGGTTGAAACAGCTATTGTATAGTGCTTCTCAGCTTTTCAACTCACGCCTCATTTACACAACGAATTCATCAATTAAACAAATCAATCTATCTTCCATTCCTCTCAAATACATATATGGATTGATTATCTCAGTCAATAACTACTCTTCTCTTAAAACCCCCACCGCAGTCAGTCTAAATATGACATGAATGTGTGTGTGTGTGTGGTCTGTTCCTTTGGTATAGCCACGCTTTCAGCGGAAAGAGAAAACCCGCCTCACCTCAAAAAAATCGATCATCAAAGACACACAAACGTGGGCCAATCTATTCGATCACTAGGGCACTTCTTCTTGTTTGTATTTTCTCAAGGGCGGGCGGAAAAACCGAATTTCAAACCACCCCAAAGGAGGTATACGAACTGGTTTCGGTTGGTTCTAATCGCTATAGTCACCAAGTAGACCAGATGACAGAGCACACCGGGTAATTTGTACGTAATGAATCACACTCGGAAGGTGTACAATCTGAGTGACTGAACAAGAGACATTCATAGACTGCGGTTTTCATCCATCGCCCTGATGCATCACGAGTTAGCCCTTGGATTTCTGTAGTGAACCCTCAGTAAAACCAACTGCTTTGCTTCGGGAAACCCGATAACATTGTGTTGATGATATCGGGCCCCCTTTCGTAGGTGGGTGATTATCTTACGTTTTCTATTTACCGTGGTCTGAATTCAGTACACTCGAACATGGACTGGGGTGTGAACATGCTCCGAGTGAGGCACCACTACTACGACTACTACTGTGGCACAACGCGCGCCCCTTGATTGAATAGCTGCGTTACAATTTGTCAACACTGTTGCATTCCGGAATTCATCGACCACAATGTACAATAGACGGGCTTTCTACTTGATTTGAGCTGACGATCCTTCGGATCTCACCTTCACACTCACAAACCTTTGTTCATCGATTCAACCATACACTCGGAAGTACTAATGACTCGAGTTTCGCTCTTATTGGAGCTCAGCAGTAGTGCATATCCACCGTCCAGTCCGAGATTTGAACTCCGGACCCATCGCATGGTAGGCGTGTGCGTTACCACTGTACCAACCAGCGCAAGCTATAGCTGAACCGAATTGCCAATTCATGCTTGTTCACGTGTCGTCTTCAGTGATAGTCAGTTCATTTTTACCCGACGGCAACAAAGAGAGTGAAATTCGAGTCAATAGTGCTTCCGAGTGTATGGTCGAATCGATGAACTGAGGATTGTGCGTGTGAAGATGAAGTCCGAATGATTGTCAGCTCAAATCAATAAAAACCAATTATCCCACACCACTACTCACAAGTAACTGTGAATCAAATTTGACACGGGCTTTACCCATATACATACACAAAGGAATTCCTATTAAAAATGAAGAATGTTGTGATAACAAATCATGCTGTGTTGATCGGAATACCTGTCACTAGCAACCGTACAAATACTTTAAACATGGCAAATGCACACGTGCCAGTTGGCAAAACAGCTATCGTACGCACTATTCCCAGCAAAATGAGTATGCATACAATTGCAATTACAACGGGCAGTTCTGTATTTGCAAAGCTTCCGGGATTCATCCTACCTCCTCCTGTCCTAGTGAGGAGAATTTCGCATCTCTTGTGTCTTGCTTCTCCAGGAGTCATGGCACAATAATGATGTGGACGAATCCGTGCTCGAACCGGATAGTTTTGTCGGATTCAGACAGGACAGCAGACAACGGTGTAAGAAGAGATTGGGAGGGGGTGGGAGGAGGCGTGATTATCCAAGCGGTTTGGTAAGTTCAAAGTATTTTTCACGTATTCAAGAAATGGTGGCAATCTGGTTGACTGTCGTTTGTCATCCTCTAAATTTTCTCGCTATCACTAATTTATGCATTGCATCCCATTTATGGTAGGTTATCTATCAAACAATGACACATTTTATGATAATTTCCTACCGCATATTGCCCCGTCTCTTGCTGACAGCTTGCCCCTAATAGCTGGTGACTTTAACCACTCCACACCCCCCCCGCGGCACCCTTTATAGTGTCTAAACCTCAGTGACTTGATTATTGAACCAACTGGAGGAAACTCTCATCTATCGACCGACCACATTACCACGGATGACGGATTTTCTACCAAACAATTATCCCCCTCACGTACCAGGTTATTATAACCTGATCCTGGTTAGACCAGAGATTTATTCAGAACAGTTTTGTTTTACTCTACCCAGATGATTTCCAGTCCTCTCTATTAATATTGAAAAAAAAGGAATGCTACATTTATTCATTCTTCGTCTGATACACGCGCCCAGTTTTATGGACTCGAGTTTTGCAAACACTCCATCTTTGTTTCAACCCATCACCTCTGGTGAAACACATGAAATCTATCAAAGTGTCGACCGTATCCGGTTCAAACAAACTAAGTTCTACCGTTTTTAAACATGGTGCCACTGTGCCAAATTTTTGCACACAAAATAGCTAATGCTTCACTGGAACTCCCAACTAGTCCCAAAGGAACAACAAAGACCCGATTTCTCTCAGTTCAACTGGTCTGAAATTGATAGACGGGGTTAGTTTTGCATCACCTTTAGTTATCTCTCACGACCCCTATCTCACACCACCTCCGATGACGTTTATCAGTTGGCATATAAACATAACCGCCCAACAGTGGATGCCGTTTCTTCTCTAGTTCACTTCATCTGCAAATTCCTGAATGAGAAAGACAGATTTGTGCACTGTGTATTTCTTGATTATTCTTCCGCTTTTGAACAAGCTGCAATCGTTTGGTTGTCCCATTTTTTTTCTTTTTGAATGGCTTCGTGATAAAATTTTTGTTCAATCGGGCAGAAGACAGTCAACGGCGTCACTCAATAGTCCCGGAGTATTTCAAGGTGCTATCGTATGCGATTTATATCAGTGACTTACGCAATCATTTCCCCCTGTACGGCAACTTGAGCACGCTAATGATATCGCCATTTCTGGTCGAATATAACACAAACCTATATATACCACCTCGTTTCGTACTTCACTTCATCTGGTCTTAATGCTAATCTTCAAAAATGTCGTGAAAGTATTTTTCACTTTAAACCGTTCCCCATCTCCCGCCGACAATGCACAGATTCATGGAAAGCCGATGAACAAGGTCAGCCATATCCAGTACTTAGGTGTCCCACTTGAAAGTAACCTTCACTGATCCTTACACACTCAAACTGTTGCTTGCAAGCTGAAAGTTCTCTCCTCTCAGATCACTACTGACAATTCTGTTCTGATTTGTCGATGCTGTCAATACGTTCTCCCTACGCGCCTTTATTGCTCCTCTGGTGTGCTGAAGACCGATTTCAAGCCGCTGAGTCGTGTCTCTCCATGACCTGCCGTGTTTCCCAAGTTCCGTTATTCGTTCTGATTGACGAGATCTGGGATGTTCATATTAGATGCGTGCTGGAATTTTGCTCTATCTGACTGCATCCATCCATCCATCCAGTACACATTGTATTGTATTGTATTTGTAACTTCTGTACGCATATATGCTTACATTTCAGTTAAAAATTGACGTGTGTGCACGCTAATTCCACCCGTTCTCCCGTTCTACATACCAACTCATCCCATCTGGGATATATTGGCCTAAAGAAACTCTTTGGTATCGTGTCTTGCTCGGATACTGACCGACCGACAGGCAGACAAATTCACATTTTTGCACGTTTGATATCCTCCCACTTTGTTCGTCGTTTTGTGACGCAATCTCTGTATCCCCATTGCAAAAATGTTCACCGGGGCAGTAAATCGGAATACGAAGGGTCGGAAAAAAAACAATTTCGAATACCAGTTCAAGGTGTTCGATAAATCGCATCGATCGGAGGTGAAGAGACGGAGAGAAGAAAAAAACGGAAAACAAACACAAGCTTTCGGTCAGACAAAGAGAGTACGGCCACATTCGTCTGAGGGTGGTGGTGAGGGTATTGAAAAATAGGGAGAAAGCAAGATCCTGTCATCTGATTTTGACCGGGGGGCAAGTAACGATGTGCCTCCTGCAATGGACTTTTGGTGGGCCGCAATCAAGTCGGACAAGAGTATCAGAAATGTCACGAAACCAGTTCAGGTGTTCGCATATCGCGGTATGCGATTCGCTGACGTCAGACAAATGAACGAGTGACGCGGCTGAACACCAAGACGACGATCAACACACACCGCTCAGTGACCCGATGACCAGGACAGGTTTGAACATGTATGATCCACGCACGCACGCGCACGGAGCAAAACGGAAAACAAAACAGAGCATGTACAAAAAAAAACAACCATGTTGTTTGGTGTTTACGCCACGACGGAGCAACAAAAGTGCATCCGCGACCGCGAGAACCGGTCGTCAAAATAAGGCACTATGCACTTTGGTAACGTACTCGTCGTCACACACACACACACACACCGATATTTTATATCGTGAATGACCTGTGATCAAAAATAAACGTACGAACGTGCGCGTTCAGATTGGAAACCGTTGGGACTGTCGTGAACGGGTCACGTGTGAAACAGAGCGGTGACCTTTCAAATGGGGCTGAAACATCAGGTCAGTGTCAATCCAAATGATAAGACAAGAGTGAACGCATTGATGCGGATCGGATAAGACCGACAAGGTAAACAGGAATAATCATCGTTGCTCGTCATTCACAGTGAATTACGATGTCAATGAAGAAGGTAGAACGACGGTGTCGACAACGGAGCTTGATATTTCTACATAGCAACAAGGGTGTTGGTGGTGGCGCAATGTTTTGTTCGCGGTCACCGGCGATTCGAGCCCCACCATCACTACTCAAATGTGTTGGTAGGCCGGTTGGCTGCCGTCCGGTTCAATACCAAGCCTGACCTAGCGGGCCTTATGTGGTTTGCCACTCCAAGTCCTCGGTTGCTGTTCATCACACTAAGGTGTGTAATAAAAAATGTACCTAACTATCCTGTACATTGTGTGCAAATATCCGACAAAAATAGGGCAATAATGCCCAAATCGAAACGGTGTTTACAATATCGGCAAATGAATTGCATCAATGATGGGTGCGCACATATGATACCCCAATCGGGAATGGTGTATCTTTGGCAATGTTCGAATTATGCCAAGGTGAATCGAATCTTGCGACGATCCAGCTTGGTCCATCAGTAGCATCCTAGTTGTACAGTGAGATTTGCTAATGGTTGTAGAGCTCGAGAATATGCAAAAACACGAAAATAAAAATTAAGGAAAAAAGTGAACTTCTCTAATCAACTCAGTCTAACTGTAAAAGTACACACCATGAAGGGGTAACTGCACACAGAAGACGACTATTAGACGAGCACTAGAGGTGTCCACAATCTCGGTCATTCGTAATCGTCACGACACCACGAATCTTTCTCTCTCACCTGCGTCCAACCACAAACACTATCCACGATCGAAAACCTCTCGTCGTCGATGAATATCTTGTGCACACTTAAACTCAAGATCTCGAAACTATCAAACAGTACCACACAGTGATGCGCTAAACTGCTCTGTTCTGGAACAACTAATCAACACGGCTGACAACAATCCATTCCAACCAATCGTTTGGTATGTGCATTCCTATGTCTTGCCTCTTCCTTATAACAAATCATGATTTTTGTATGATCAATAAATTCCTACACGCTGCCAACTGTGGAATTCCTGTCTGGAGAAAAAACATTAGCTGAAGATGATCCTTCGAGAATCCAGTATCGAGAAAATCCGGTGCGGATACAACATCATGAAATGTCACATTGATGCCATACGTGGGGATTGGCAATGCATGCGGTCACCTGTGTTTACTGTACTATTATCATTCGGAAAGTGAAAGATGATAGCTATATGCAGACTATATGCGTGGGTACAGGTATGGAACGGTCAGTCATTTATCATTCACGGGACTAATTCAATCCAACGGACCAATGTGCACACACACACAAAGAGAGTGGACCTTCAAAAAATCACATGTACTGGCGATGATGATGATGTTGTTGTCATGTCAACTAGTTTGCTCGGTAAAATATTTAAAAAAACTTGTGAATCATGCGACACTAACAACCACTCAGGAGAGCACAGTTTGGAGAGAATAGAAGTAGAAAAGTTGGAGTTGGGACGTCATCAGACTGGTGTAAACTTGTTTATTCGGGTAGATTATTTGAGCTCACCAAACGGTATAACGCATAACAACAATCTGCAGTGTTCAAAACTGACTCAGCCGACACTCAGGAGCCACAAGTGAGCCAATCCAGAGTGTTCGCATGCATACTCGCATGTTATCGGTCGCTGACGTTTCGCCAACTGCTGTCGCAATACGGTGAGGACGATGATCAATTTTCGTGTGTGTGGGAATCGTTGACCAAACCGCTGAGCAATAGACTGTAGCAACTTCACTGATTGTCGATAACGGACGGCCGAGTGGAGAGGGAGATTGAGTCAAACCAACTCACACAACAATCAGATTATGCCAATGGTTTGGGAAGCCCAACTAGTGCAAAGATTGTTAAATGTACGAATGGTACTCGGGAGGGGGGGGGGAGTTGCCCAAATTCATGGTCCAGCTGTTATCGATTGAGGCTATTTTGAGTGGGCTCAAACCCTCTTTGTCTCTCTCTCGTACGGGGGATCAATGATACCCAGTTCTACGAAGCAGATGGAAAAAACTGTAAACAAATGTAAGTTGAGAACCAATTTCCATCAAACGTGCTAAAACTTCACAATATCTGGGCAAATGTGAAGCTAGCCATTTCACTCGGATAGGTGAAACTAGCAAAGAGGGCGACTTGGAGACAAGACGGTAAAACTCACCTGGGGAGTATTTCGAGCCACATCGTCGACGAAACCAGAATTCGAATTGTATTTGCGATAGGTGCCTTCAATAAAATGTTCCAAATGATATAACGGTTGATCCGGTCGATTGATCATTTTGATCACACACATCTGAGCAATATCAACCTGAACGCGGTTGGCCGCAGGTGGTGGTGGAGGAGGAGATGATGATACAAGTGAAGAGAAGAGACGAATTTGTGAGAAACGATCCAATCGGATTGCGAAAGAGGTCAAATTAAGTCAAACCAGGCTTTATACACACTCCATAATACAAGAGCTAAGCAAAAAAACGTTTCTGATACGGATACGCAGTCAGTACACGACGAGTGCGAGGTGCATATGATAAAGGCAAGGAAAACGTGAACTGTATTGTGAATCTATTGTTCAGTGATTGCAACTGACACACAGAACTAAATATCAACACAGCTCACAAGTCATACGAGGATTACTATACTCGGACTGTTGTAAGGATGGAATTCGATCGATGTCAGTGGATCCGGGCGGCGATTTTGTACGACTACAAATGTGGTTTAAAACAGTAACAGAGTGTTGATCGTTTGCGAGTTGTCTTTAGTGATGTCAAGCGCATGATGCGTGAAATCCGATATGAGTTACCAACAGATGCAATAGAGGCCTTTAATGAACTGTTCGAAGGGTTGTAACCGGCCTTGGTATGGTCAAGCTGTTTCACCAAATAGTTTAAGCGCATGGAGCTGTGTGTGTGTGTGTGTATGAACGCTGGTGGGGAATACTTCGAGAAAATGTAATGCTTATTTTTGTGTAGCAAAACAAACTTTTACGCCTCCGGAAACGTTTTGCTCAGCCCTCGGGCAACAAGTTTATTCTGGTAAATACCATACTCTGGATAGACAAAGAAACCTGTGGTTTCTGGGATTGAGAGAGAATGTTCAAACCGAATGGATAGATCCAATTTGAGGGTGCACACACACACACACGTCGTTCACGTCTCGGTATATGACGTTAACGTATTTTTATTGCCGTTTCAACTATCGAAAAGAAACGTTTGACAAAAAGGACCTAAATGTCATGGGACCAGGCAGATAAATCTTGCCCACACAAACGGACGGGCGTGTCCCCAGTTCATACAGACGTACAATTGGCGTAGGCAGAACAGATTTTTCTGCTAACAAGACCACGAAATAAGAGCATATAGACAATCATGAAATGGGTTGATGTGATAAAGTTGAACCGCCAGAGGATTCTAAATCACTCGAGGTCAGGTCAAAAAAGTGTTTTATTCATCCAATGTGAACAGAATTTTCAGTGAAAAGAATGTTATCACTTTTGCTTTGGCATTGCATGCTATTAACAAAGGAGTTTTAAGATATGACAAATAGTTACTTAGATGATAATGAAGAGGACACCGAGAACGCGCAGAAAGTGAAGAAAATTTCATCGTGGAAATTTACACTAGACTGTGTATAAGTTCGTTTCATAATCGTTCCCTAGAAACCAACAAACGTGAGTGTAATGGATGTGATGCATCGGACAAGATAGAGTCACACGCCTTCAGGTGTCGCTTGACAACGGAATCAACCAGCTCCTCATAAAATACAGCTCCATATCTAGAGATGCTTTCCCGAGAGCGTCTAATTAATATGAAATCCTTAGACAGTAGACCGGGAAAAATAACGGGAGGGCAGTAGGTCCAATGGCATAAAACGCATGAGAAAATTAATTCAGAAATGATGTACAATGGTACCCTCAGATGCCGAACGCGTCAACTTTCAGACTTAAGGAAACGTTTGTTCTACGTGATAGGACCATTTGAGGTCAGCAGACGGAAAACATCCAAGATATTCGAAGTGAAGTGACCCTTCAACTTTTAAGTTATTGATCAAGATATCGGGAACAGTTGATCCAGAAAGAGTTGATGGTTTACGGTCAATGGAAAACAATACTTCAATGCATTTGTTTCGGGTTTACAGAAAGGTTCACACCATAGGACCATTCAGAAATGGAACTTATGGGTGATTGAAGGGGGTTAGTTGAAGGGTTGTTGTTGCGAGATGCACCACCAACTACTATGCCATCGGCATATTTAAATGTGGAATTTACTTAGTGTTTGCAATCGCAAAACGCCTTGTTTTAGTGAATAAATTATCGATTGCTTCATGTTCAGCAATCCCTCGCTAGATGACCGAATTATGTCAGATTTTTCCCCACACCCCGGGGCATCAAAAAAGACCTAATTGAGTCAATCGTGTAGTGAAAATCGATGGAGAAGAATGAACGAGTGAATCGAGACGACTATAGTGGTGATCGTCCCGGGAAAACAATGGATGCAAACCACTATGGATTTCTTGCGCACATCGCACACAATGAATCTTGTGCAATGGACGAGCGCGTGACTGTAGACTTCGCTTAAAAGCGAATTCAGTATGGATGTGTGGAGTAGATTTGGTGGAGCATGCTAAACAAACAGGAAATCGATAAGGTACTAATTCGGTTCCAAATAACTTGGTCCTAATTGTCGGTAGTTAGAATGAGAAACGGCAAATAAATATTGTGCACTTGCCGTTAGTGTGTTCTATTCCTATTCTCACCTATGTAGATACCACACAACCAGGCTTGAAAGTGGATGACGTCCGTTTGAGGAAATGGCTCACCACAGTTCGTGGAGTTCCTTCCACAAGAACCTTTATTGGATTGCTTATTTTTTTTCCTAACGTTCTACCACACTAGCTGTGTTGTACGATGGCGACGCCACTCCTAATGTCAATCTGAGAAATACAGCAAGAAGCACAAACGCACTACACCTTTTCCCATTAGGCTTTAGCTAAAACCCGCAATCCTTTAGCCTCGACCCGAAATGCTTTAGGCAAAACCCATAGTCTTTTAGCCTTAACGCACAAACTTTAGTCACACCGTACTAGACGAATCAGATCAAAAGTATCGGAATATTCTGAAATCAACGGATGTTGAAAAAAAATTATTTTCTACAAATGTTGCTGTTTCAAAGCTTGGTTAAGAAATAAGGTGTGGGGATTGCATGCTGCAACACATGTGGATTGGAGAAGCTTTGACCAATCTGCCTGTATCGTCAAATCATTTGACACATCTCGTACAGCTTCAAGGTTTCTGTATAACACGCGATATTCCTAGGATTAAAAATCTGAAGTTTAACTCAAACGATACATTGTTATGCATTAACAAGTGAACTCTCTTTATCAGAAGGGGATACAAAAACTTGCTGAGGATAACAAACCGTTCGTAAAAGTACACCCTCATAACTATCATCAGTTTATTAACAATGCAATGTAAGTTATAATTACCACGGTCGAGGCTTGATTATTACCGGATTTTGCTTATAGCTTCATCAGAAACGGTGCTCTAAAAGGATCTTTTGTGAGTAGTGTTTATTATGCTCGACCTTTTAATGTATCCATATGTCAAAAACAGAGTTCCCTTTCAGTGGATATATGAAACGGTAAGCATATCCCTTTTGATTTATTTCCGAGGCTTGTGAATGCAAAACTATCTACCGTTTATGGTACATATGAGACTTTTACTTCTAGGATTGTCGCACATTGTACAGAAACACTGACGCTGTACGAGATGTGTCAAATGATTTGACGATGCGGGCACATCGGTTAAAGCTTCTCCAATCCACATATGTGTTGCAGCATGCAATCCCCACACCTTATTTCTTAACCAAGCTTTACAACATCAACATGTGGAAAATAATTTTTTTCAACATCCGTTGATTTCAGAATATTCCGATACTTTTGATCTGACTCGTCTACTGCTGCGCGACTTAAGTTAGTGCGTCAAGGCTAAAGGACTACGGGTTTTGGTTAAAGCTTGATGACAAAAGGTGTAGTTCCGGTCCAGCAATATTGGACGGGCAGATGATGGGCTAAAGTCACATCGAAATATAATGATCCTGCCAACCTCAATGAACCATCAATCAATTACCAGTGGAATCGTCACGTCGTAATCACAGTGTCAGGGAAAATAGCGGTCGCGTTTAATTTTGACCTGTTTGTCAATACATGGTGTTCAGTTGTTCGCCGAGCTTGAATTGTATTGCAAACGTTTCATCACCAATCGAGGTGACATTCTCAATGCAGTAACTGGGTGAGCGCTTACGAGTCGTTGAGACATGTAGAGATGTGACGTTGCCTGATTGGCTTATGTTTGTTCGCCTTTTGTCGATAGGGGATGAGGTGGACGCGAGTAGTCTGACGGCTGGTTGTTGATCGATCGGTCGAATTGTTACTGTCGTCCTGTTGTGACGTGTGACATGACCTGCCTTCTTTGCGCTGATTGGTCCTTTTGTTGCATGGGGGTGTAGACTTGACCGACGTCAATATGTCGGTTGACAGAGTTTTCCGATGAATACCAAGCTTCCAGAAATTCTCTTGCGTGCTTGGTGCTGGCCTGATCGACGACTTTGGTGTTTTCGAAATCGAATTTGTCCTTCTTCGTCCGTCTTCGTGAATTGGGATGAATGAGAGTGCATCGTGCATTGAGAATGATACCTCGATTGGTGATTAACGTTTGCAATACAATTATCAAGCTCGGCGAACAACTGAACACCAAGTTATACTACCCGAGTTACAAAAACAACAATCAACACCGTTGTTTACAAACTGTCATATATATATATATATATATCACCGGTTGGCGAACAAACGTGCTGCCAACGCGACAACAATAATAGCGAATAGTGTTGTTTTTGACAGGGCGCACACATGGAAGTGATTGCTGTATTTTCACGGCATTTGCGAGTGGATTAAAGGATTTAGTATGGTAACCATAGAAGAGACAAACAGATTGTCGATGATTGTTGATGATCACCGATAAAGAGACGCTCACGAAAATACTAACCAACTGTTGCAAACTAGATGTTTTATTCTGTGTAATCGATTTTTTTTTAAATTTTATTTTAACACGTTATCAATTACACAGAACTAGCAAATGTGCCACAAAATCTGGAAAAAAATCTGCAGAATGTGTTCATAGGTTGTGTGGGTATATGTTACTTCCCAGTTGCCTTGACCGAGTAAGAGGGATAACCTAGAAAGCTAGAAAGCCAGACCTGCAAGAAAACAGGACAGAGAGCAGAGTTCGCAGTTCATTGGGAACCG